TCCCGCCCAATGCCACAACGTCCCCTCCAGCAGCCTCCCCAGAGCGGGGGGCAGGGGAGAGACCCCCTGGAAGAGCCGAGGAATGCTGGCGCATTCCTTCGCACGGGCTGCCGTCTGCCCTTGGCTCCCAGCCGTCCCGGCTTCGCACGAAGCGGGGACACGTTTCCTGCGACTAGAAGCGTCCCCAGTGCCCTTCCCCGTCCGGTTATGCCCAGCACAAAAGTTCTTTCTCTGGGGATTCCTGCTTTTATCTAACACCTTTCATCTCTGGTTGTGGCCATTCTTCGCTGCTCCAGCCCGCTCACGACCTCTCGCCCCCAGAGCAGAAAGGGAGAAGGAATACTTTTGTTTGATCCGCCGTCTCTTAAAATTCTTGAGATTCATCTCTTGCTGTGGCCCGTTGCCCGCGCGCGTGGCCACTGGGAAGGGGCAGCTCCTTCTCCGGCCGCTGCGGGTGGGCAGCTCGGGAGAGGTGCCGGGTGCAGGGTCGGTCGCTCATCAGCGGAGCTCAGTCCTGTGTTACACCTCATTCCAAAGCCAGGGCGAAATCCTTTCCCTTGCTCCATCGCATGGCATCCAAGCTCGTGTAGAAGCTCCAGTTTCAGATGGGAGAGCATTCCCTCGGTACGGGTGCTGCCAGGAATAGCCTGGATGGGCGCGTTTGTTTATTTATCTGTGTGGTCAGCGCCGATCAAAAGCAGCCTGACTTTTTCTCTAGAAATGCTCTTTGAGGGAGGAGGAGGGTTTGTTTAGGTTCTGTGCAGATGGGACCCAAAAGAAAGAAGCAAAAAAATAAAAAGGGAAAACAAAGACCCCAACTTTGCATTCTAGAAATTCCCATGACATTTGCTTCTCAAGCAGCACAACAAAGTGCATTTGCTGCCCTTGCTGCATCTAGCAGGAAGGAAGCTGTCAAAAATGTTGTGTTCTCTGGGCAGAGGCAGGTTGCTCAGAGCCCCTGCTTCTCTCCCCGCTCTGCAGCGCCAGCCCCAGCCCTGCTGCCCGTTCTCGAGGTTTGCTGGCCAGCATGAAAAGGGGAAGAGATGGAAGGACCGAGGCCACGTGAAGTTCCTGGGTGCGCTGGTCAGCGGGCAGAGCCCTGGAGCTCCATGTTCGCCACTTCTCTGCTGTGCTTCGAAGCGTCACCCATTCCTCGACGAGGCCACCATGGTGTGACGCTCGCCGTTGCTGGTTGGGCATGGTGGTGCTCTGAGTGGAGCTGGGGCAGCTCTGCTCGTTGTTAACCTGCTTTGCAAACCAGGGGCGGGCTCAGTGGAGCTTTGCCCTTCGCAGGGAGGGAGAGACCAGTTGAGTGCGGTGCTGATACTCACCCCTAAAACCAGAAGGGAGCATGTTAGTGGTGCTATCACCGGGGCCCGAGCCCTCCAGGTCCGCTCCTGCCTGTCACTAGGAGGAGCTGAAGATCGCGCGTCGCAGCAGCCCCGGAGCTGCCATCCCTTCGGGTGAGACTGCCCAAGCCCTGGAGGACAGACAGACTGCAGGGAGCCACGCCGGACAGGCCGGGTGGGAAGGGAAGCACAAAATGTCCCTTTCATCTCGGGCTGCCAATGGGAGCAAAGCCAGCTCTCTGGCGCGTTTCCCGAGGAAGGATCTGCAGGTCCTCACTGGCAGTGGGGCTGGCAGCGCACACGGGAAGGCCCCGCGGGCTGGCGGGGAGGCAGCAGGCGAGATAAGGGCAGCACGTGTTTTGGGGGGGGAGGCTTTGCAGAGATAAGGGCACCGAAGCTGTGGGGTCAGAAACATGACCAGATCTCTCCCCCGCCACAGCTCTCCGAGCTCTGTTTGCTCCTCCTCTTGATCATGTCCCTGGGGTCTCTTCTGTCACCGGTCAGCTGGCAAGTCCCTGGGGAGCATTGTAATTTCCGCCATGTTCTCTTGGAGAATTCCCAGAAAACTTTGTTCTGGGCTAAAAAAGCAGTGACCAGAGCGGTGCAGCTGCCTGCTGGCTCTGGTCAGAGGGACTTTTCCACTCCTTACCAATCATTAGGGATCCGCAGTGGACAGCCGCTGGTGTGTGGCCAGCTAAACCACTGAAAACCAGAGCAGGAAGGGAAAGGTGGGTTGGAGGGGGTTGTCATTCCCATGGAAGGATGGAGCAGGAAATCTGCCTGTGCAATGATGGGTGGGGAACCCTCCTGCGGCTCCAGTCCTGTCTGGAGAAGAAGACGGGTCCAGTCTGATACCACCC